TTATGTTCGAAATTCCCCTGCCAAAGATGAAAATGGCGTGGTGGTAATCGCAAAAGATGAACAAAGCAGTGTATGGAGGAGACATTTTGAACGAACTCCGATTACAATGCATAGCAAAGCCGATGAATTTGTAATATGTAGGCGGCTTAACCCTTATCGAGGAATAAGCACCATAACTCCATTAATAGCAGAAATTAAAGAAACTATCGTATCACTGAAGAATAGTAAAGCAGCAGGAGGCGATGAACTTCCTCCAAAATGTTTTAAAGTAGACGCTGCTACTATGGCTAGAATCCTCCAACCACTTTTCGAAAAGATTTGGGTAGAGAAATGTTTTTCAACCAAATAGAAATATCATTTGTAGTGAAGCTGCCTAAGAAGAGTGATAAAAAGTAGCGCAGTAATTGGAGGGGAATATCAGTGCTGCCAATAGTAATAAAAATTTTCAACAAGATTATCTTGGAGAGAATAGCTATGACATTAAATAGTACTATATATAATTCCCAGGCCGGCTTTCGACCTGGAATGTCATGCACGGATCAAATTAACACGGTGCATATTTTTGGAGCTGGCAGCGGAATTTAACTGAACACTGTATCTTACATTTATCGATTACGAGAAAGCGTTTGATGCGCTCAAAAGAGACTACATATGGTTGGCGCTTCGCGCAAGGATTATACTGTCAAAAATTGTCAGAATCCTAAAAAATAACAGAAGAATAAGATGCAGAGTTTTACATGGTAAACTCAGCGATAGTTTTCAGTCAACAAGCGCAACCCTGACGGCATATTATCACTTATGTTGTTTATCATCATTCTCAACACAATTTTGAGGCACTGAATAAAAAAGTACGTGATATTAATTACAGTTTAAACATTAGAAATCTAAATAATGAATCGAGTAAAGTCGGCCTGAACATTAACGTAATGAAGACCAAAACAATGCACATAAATACCATCAATCACGATTGCCTATTTGTCAACAATAATATCTTAGAGGAAATACACAGGCCCATTCTGAATACTCCCAGGGAACAAAACTCCCTATTCCCACGCTGTTTCCAAACACACAACTCCCTTATTCTGAATTGCTTGGGAGACAGCAGTTTTAGGAACAACAACAGTTTCAAATTTGTTTTGTTAAATTTTGGCAACCATGCCACTTTTTAATGACGAAAAGTGCAAAAATGAGCAAAACAAAGAAAAGAATTGCGTATCATATGTTGATTTAAATGTAAAAATCGCATTATTTGTTTGTTGCACAAATTATCGGAAATAAATATAAGTTATTTTATGAGTAAATAATAAATAATAAAATAATAAATAATAAAAAACTTTTATTTTAATGAGTAAAATAAATATATAAAAAGAACTGTGCATGAGCAAAATAAACAAGAATTGTGCAGTTGTTAATGATTATTTAAATAAAAAATTTTAAAAAAGTTTTCAAAAATGCATTCAATTGCATTTCGAGTTTCAGCGGAGGATTTGGCTCAAGAACAGGAGCAAGAAATTTTGCAACAGAGCATCAATCGCAGAAACTTACATGTTAAATTTAACTCTTTTCTAAATTTTTAACTCTTTATTAACTAATTAAAAAACAACCTTACGTTATGATATCAATTCTTCAATGTCTTTATTTTCAAACATTCACTGCTTTTATACAAAATTTGCGTAAATTATAATTTAATTTTTTTTACATAATTAGGATAGAAATGTCCTTCATGCTTCAATTAATGAACTAATAATAGTTTATGATTGTGCAGATGTTACAATAAAAACGAAGCAATGTTTTACCTACACATAATTGCAAAAGTTTATTTTAACTTATTCTAGGAATCCCATTCATTTCAGAATTTGGTTTCCTTTCATTTTTCTATTGTTTTAAAAACAATAGTTAACACTTTAATTAGTGGAAAAAGCCCGTGTAAATAAAATAAATAAATAAAAATTTAAATATTTCAAATTTGTTATACTTTTATTAAAATAATAATTTTAATAAAATGTATTAAATGAAAATTTAGTTATATTAAATTTATTAAAATAAATTTCTTAAAATATATTCGGAAAACCAATCAACTCTTGTGGATAAAATAAAAAAATAAAACTTTGAAAATATTAAATTTATTGTAATAATTTTATTATAATAATAATTTTATTAAAATATATTCAAAAATCTGATCATTTTCCGTTACTTTTATATTAAATTTAACCATTTTTAATACTTTTTTAACTCGTCTCCCCAACAATTTGCTTGGGAAAGAATTTGTGCAAAATTGGGAAAAAACTCCCATTCCCATGCGATTCAGAATAGGAGAATAGGAGAATTGGGAACAGGGAACAAAACTCCCATTCCCAATTTATTCAAAATAGGAGAATTGGGAACAGGGAACAAACTCCCATTCCCATGCGATTCACAATAGGCCTGAATATATTCGGAAAACTAATCAACTCTTGTGGATAAAATAAAAAAATAAAACTTTGAAAATATTGAATTTGTTGTAATAATTTTATTATAATAATAATTTTATTAAAATATATTCAAAAATCTGATCATTTTCCGTTACTTTTATATTAAATTAAACCATTTTTAATACTTTTTCAACTCGTCTCCCCAACAATTTGCTTGGGAAAGAATTTGTGCAAAATTGGGAAAAAACTCCCATTTCCATGCGATTCAGAATAGCAAAATTGGGAACAGGGAACAAAACTCCCATTCCCAATTTATTCAAAATAGCAAACTTGGGAACAGGGAACAAACTCCCATTCCCATGCTATTCAGAATAGGCCTGGTTATAATAATGATAATATAAATTTTTTATACAATGAAATGTTGTTCTTAGTAATCTAAACAGAACAAACTTGCATGCAATCGTATTTTAGCATCAATCCATGCAAGGCAAATTTTCATGGAGATACTATTTTTATCAATTTTTAAAACATTGTATAAGTCTCTTCAATAGTTATATCCTTCAAATATTAAACTAGACACAGAGCTACTAAAGCCGGCCACTGAAACAATAAACCCGATATTTAAAAACGGAGTACATTAATCAGCGGAACGTATTTGTTTCATTGTTTATATAACGCGTAATGATTATAAGATCAATAATTTTCCAAATCGATGGTGATATTCGTGAAATCCTCGCTATCGTGAAAACATTTTCCATAGCTGTCTAGAACTTGAGATTGAATGACACGATTACCACAATTTCTGTAAATTCTAATACTGAAGATGCAGTTTGAGCTTTATAATTTATTTTCTGATTTTTCGGTTTTTTATTCTGATTCACACAGCTTTTCAAAATCCCAAATCATATTGATTTTGTTGTTATTAAGAATCATCCTTCAATTTTCCCGATAATTCAAGAAGAACCCCAATTACAAAGAGTTACAACTCAAAGCACCAACTGTCTGAAATTTAAGAAATATCTAAATACTCACACTCATTCCAATTACAAAATTAAAAACAAATATCAAATAGATGATGCCGTACAAGTATTCAACATGATTCTCTCCTCAGCTGCCGAAAACTCTATACCACAAAATTCACCATCTCAGCCAGGAAGGCAGCTTTTTTCTAACAGCGAAATCGAAAGACTTTTAGCAGAAAAAAAGCTTGTAGAGAATGGCAACAAAATAGATCCCCATTAGCCAAATCTAAATTAAAAAAAATAGTTAATCAACTAAAAAGCGCTCTATTAAGAGACAAAGATAACAAGCAATACGAATATATCAAAAAGCTGTCCCCAAATACGACTAACAAAGGATCACTCTGGAAGGTTGATTAAGCTACAACAATACCTGTTGAAGCCGTATCTCCATTTAGAAATCCCAGCGGCGAATGGGCTCGCAGCGACGATGAAAAAGCTAATGGACAGTCAGAAAGATTGTGCAACTTTTTGCGATGTAGAAATTGCAACATATGTTAATTGATGAAGTTATCAACTGTGTGCGTGTTATGTTATGTATTGTGTGTTTTCTAAACCAGAATAATAAGATTTTGAGTTATTTTTATTGTGTAATTTTTTTATGCGGTCCCTATCCACCGCAAATCCCTCCAATAATTTCAATTTACCAACTTAACTTGTTAACAATAATGTTATCAACCTACAAATTTCAGTAAGCGATATCGAGGTCATTATCAAAGAAAAACCTGTCTTCAAAAAAGCACCCGGACATTTCTATAATTTCAATTATACTAAAAAAACCTGACCGTAGCAATTACACACATTACAAAGATTTTTAACGCAATAATAAAATTTGATTCAAAAGTCCCATCATATAGACCTATAAGTTTGCTGCCTTGCCTATCAAAATTGTATGAGAAAGTGTTTCCAGCAAAATTTGTGCCTTTTTCCAAAAACGAGACCTGATCCCAAGCCATGAATTTTGATTTCGTCAAATACATGGTACTATCGAACAAGTGAACAGAATAACTAACGATATAAGAAGCGCTTTTGCTTTGGTGTCTTTTTAGATGTTGCACTATAAAGCATGACATGAGGGCCTGATCCACAAAAAAACGAAAAATAGTTCCGCAAAAATCACACACAGTACTGGAATCATACTTGAAGACAGATCCTTCAGAGTAACGTTTCAAATTAAGTAAAGACTTCCCTATAACTACAGGTGTTCCTTAAGGCAGCGTTCTTGGTCTATTCGTGAACCTCGTCTTTACTTCGTGTATCCCCACAAATACCAATTTAGTAACATCAACATTTACTGACGATACACCTATTTCGTTCCGACATAAAAATGCCACAATTGCTTTCAGTCAACTTCAAAATCATTAATGCTTCGTAGAAAGATGGTTGTCACTACGGCAAATTAAAGTCAATGACAAAAATATCATCATTTACCATTCTCTCTTAACAGATCCTCCTCACCAACTATCA